TCAATAATCTACATATTTTTCATGACCATCTTGAGGGTGTGGGTGTGGATGGGAGTGGGGTGTGGGTGTAAGGGAGAGGTTTTCCTGATATCCACACCCTTGAAACGATGAAAAGTGTGGAATTGGGATGATAATGACGTATCATTTAGATTTTGATTCAATTCAATTAGAAATCTAGTTAAGTGACGTAAATATATTCGCTTAGGTTAATCTACTTCCACAACTGATAACTAGTACTCGCGATGCATTCAAACCAATATAGTTATTTTAACCAAATCAATTACTTATAATTTTCTTCGGGTTTTTTTCAAGGAAATCCAGGAATATGTCCATTTTTAGAAATGTTACCATCCGATCTATATAAACTTCATACAATAGATGGAACTGAGGTAGATATTCAAATAAATATACGAAAATATTGGATCCATCAAAACGGATAATTAATATAAGGAGTGTATGTTCTATGGCATTCGAATTAGAAAGATATTGATGAAAAGAAAAACTGGAACTATATATGTATAAATACTAAGGTCCTGTTGAAACTGTTTTATTAATTGTTTCCATGACCCCAATTCGACATGATCGAATTGAATTAACAATAAAAGTTAGGCATGAATTAAGATTTTAAAAAACTCACGGTAAACTTTTGCATTGCGGTTATAATTATGCAGAGAGATTTGGTATTAATGAAGATTTATATAAAGTTGATTTTAGTGATCCAGTAACAAGTAATCAATAAACAGCAACGTCACGCGGTTGGTATTATGATGTAACGACAATCGTAGACGGAATTGAAACTAGTAAAATAGAAAATAAAATGTTTATTATACATTCTTCGAGACATATGCTTGTGTTCAATATTAAAAAAGATGCTGAAATTCTACTATAGAAATAAACAATATTATACACTGGTCTTTTTTTATGTTAATATTCGAGTGGTGATATTTTAAACCAGGAATGTGTGCATCATATATAAGTTCTAATGAGCTATGAGTATTTTGAATAGAGTTCGAGCTAATAGATTATTACTGCCGAGACTGTATTTTTTACCAGAATGTCGTGATCCCTCTCAGAAAAGCTGAGTTTCGAATTCCTACTTGAAACTTTGCATAGAGACAAGCCTCACCGCGAATAGCTTTTGAAAAAGTTTCAGATGTTTCGATTACGTCAATGAATACATAACTTGTTTTCTGCTAATGATGTTCTATTTCGACTCTGCTAGATCATAGGATATATTCAAGTTGCTGGTAATAAAATCAATACTAATATATGAATCATCATTGACTAGATCTAGAGCAGCGTCAATGTTTTCTTCACTGACGACTGCTATGGAGCGACCGATGCAAGGATCATCTTCCATCAACTCTCATCCAGTCGAACAATCATGAAGTCAGCGAGCAACCGTACGATATAATGCATAACCTTGATCATAATAAGTTGTCAATGCCTTACGGGTTTCAATAGCGATGAACCAAGAGCGATCGAGTTTTTATGTAGTAGCAAATACACTATTTATCGATCTGAAAAAGTAGGCGCAATCTCATTCATTGTGTAGTACATAACTGTTATACCTACTAGAAAAGGATCATAGTGAGATTAAAAATGATCAGCATAAATTGTTAAACTAGCGTTGCCAGAAATTTTTGCACGTCATAAGTACACGAATTAAACTCGAATTCAAAAAGTATGGAAAGCAGTGAAGCAAGACTGTTGATTAATCTAGTAACCTTTCAATAGTATATGTTTTGCAGAGTATTCGAAAGCCAATATAACAGTCACATGCGTCACAGTGGGTCCTGATTTTCATGATCTCCTGACTATTAAGACTTAGCGAATAATATATGATTTTTATGGATTTTGGGGACTCTTCCTTAAGAGTGACGAAAGTGGAAAAAAAAGAATTATTTGCCAAAAGTAGAAATATTATTAAAAAAGAAAATCAAGACCCAGTGCGACGCACGGACTTATCGATATGAACTTTTTAAAGCGTTGATTAAGCTTCTCAAGATTTCCATCCAACGGTAATATGGCGTTGTAGTTCAGCAAATAGATGAATAGATCTTGTTAATATGATGATCAGTTCGATGCATCTTTTCTTACAAATTGAAATTCACTTATTTGATAACATCAAGTCATTATTTTAGAGTTTCGATTTTGTTGATTGTACACTGGCGCCCTCTATTAGTCATGATAATGATTGATTAAATTCGTTCTAAAGTTTATCCATCTTCTCTCGAAGGAAGTTTCTCGTCTTCATTTATTTGTCTGCAATAAATATTACAAAACTCCACACCTATTCCAAACTCATATTATCAATATTTCTAGATCACATCGTTGATTAATAACTAAATAATGCCAACTAAGTGAGTGGTTTTCTTTTCTTTTGTCTCTACTGTTTTTTTTTAATGTTTTTCTCATGAAATTCTTTTTGTAAACATCTATTTTTTTTTTCAAATGAAAAATCTTGATTGTTTTCGCGCATTGTACATGTATTTTTTTTTTTTTGCGCTATATATTTCCAATGAGAAGCGCACCCCATTCTTCTTTTAGACGATCGTCAACATTCAATCATATATTCAACATAATTAATATTATTCATTTATATTATCGTCATACACAAGACTTACATACAATTGACAAACTTATTCATCGTCTATCATTGGTAAGAAAAATCTTGATTCCTTAATTAAGTCAGTGTAAAAATGAGATTTTTGAAGTTAAAATTTTATGATTTAAAACTCTGAACAGCAATAACAGGATAGCAAAATTGATAATTAATAAGAATATTTAAGTAGATTCTCATCTGACTAGATACGAATGATCTTATGGTTTACACTATTTTTTTTTTTTGCTTAAATAATATTCAAATCATAACGAAACAGATGTTCAATTAATGAGAGATCGATTAAACGATGACTTGACACAAATATGGACAAATCACTGATTGAAAAATGAAATATTTTACAAAAGTAAACAGTGATCGATCGAACTCGATAGTAAAAATTAATTTGATATCGTACAATATCGATTATGGGTCGTTCCATTGATGAATAGTGTACAAACCTTTGAATACTAAAAATATGAACAGACCAAACTATTAGAAGTATACTAACATTAATCACACAATTTTAAAATAGGGAGATCAGATAGTTCGTTGAGGCAAATAATTACTTGCAAACGACACAAACAAGAAGATTTTGTTTGGTTAGCGATGATATAAAATTTGACGGAAAAAAGAATACAGTGGTTACAAAAGATACCTAAAGTTTAATTCAGTAATCTCATAGTATGATCAGAAATAACGTATGCTGATCTCTGATCGACCTTTATGTGGAGGAGCTAGAATCTTAACATACATTTTTCTGCAAATAAGAATGTCTTAATCATAGATAGCTCAGTGCTGTCTTCATTTGAAGAAGTTCACTCGTTTTATTTTATATGTTTAACTTAACAAATATTTTTCTTTATCTTCATAGATCAGCTAAAATGTCTTAATATTCAACTCAAAATGATCAAAATATTATCATAATATGTATTTATGTACATTAAATTGAAGAAAAAAAAATTCAGTATGATATATTCTATTATACATTTAAATTATTATTTTCAATATCAACGAAAATTAGACAATAAATCTTTTCTATCTTGTGTACTTCTTTTTTTTCTGTCTGCGCGTTATTTTATACTGTTAAACAAAAAAAAACAAGCTAATTTTATTAATTCATATTTAGAAAACGTTCATCAAGTTCATCATCATCCGATGGATCTCCAGGACATCGTTCATCATTACATCGATCAAATAGTGAACGAGATAAAAAACGTTCTCGACGTTCATCTAGTCGAGATAAACATAGACGTGATGGAAAATCATCAAAAAAGTACTACAAAAAAAATATTTACATATCATAATAAAATTTCTTTGTTAGACATTCAAAAAAAAGTAGTAAATCTCATCGTACATCACGATCAGGATCTCCACTTCGAGAAAGTTCATCTACAACTGATAAAGAACGTAAATCATCACAAACTTCTACTAGTCAAACAACACCAGTAACAACAACTACAAATGAACCTCTTGATAAAGTAAGAATGTTTTTTTTTTTTGTTTATAATTATTTTCAATATAAATTTTCTTAATAGGAAGCTGAACAAAAACGTCTTGAAGAAGAAATGCAAAAACGTAAAAATCGTATTGAACAATGGCGCGCTGAACGTCGATTGATGCTTGGTGTCGATAAAGTCATGCAACAATCAATCGTACAAGCTACAAAAGTAAGACAAATAAATATAAATTGTTAGCACAATTCCTAAGAAATAATTGTTCTTTATCATAAGAAGACTATTTTCATTCTATCTATTTTGAAAAACATTTAACTTTGTGTATAAATTTTAATTTTCTTTTTTTAAGGGAAAAACTTGGTCATTAGAAGATGAAGGTGATGAAGATGAAGAAGATTTACAAAATGTTGTTATACCACCAGTAGATCTTAAACGTGATGTTGCTGCAGCACGTGAAGCAGTAATGGCTTCACAAGCAGATAAACAACGAGAAGCTATAGAACGTGCAGCACAAGCAGCTGCACTTGCTGCAGCTGCATGTGCAACTGTTGAAAAAATTGATGATGACGAAGATGATCCTTTAGATAAATTTATGGAAAATATTGCAAAAGAAGTTAAAAGTGTT